GTGTGTAGAGTGTGAGAAAACGTTTCATTGTACATCAAAGCTAAAAATTCCTCAGAAAGTCCACAGTAGAGGTATGTGAACAATGTGGAATACATTTTTTTTTCAAACTTCACACCTTACTGCTCACCTGGAACTTCACAGAGTGACAGAAGGGAAATCCTACTAATGTTACTTTGTCTAGTCAATTAACTTTCAATACCATCTTAGAATTAGAATACACAATCAAGCAAAAGTGTATAAACCTTGGGCGTGTGAGAGTATTTTGCTTGCTCGGCTGCATTAGTAACTTGCCAGAGTGATTTCACAACTGGCCATAAATTGTAACAGTCATAACTCAAGGCACCCAGGTATTTCTGTTTTTTTTTTTATTAAACTGCTGTTGATCAATAAGGAGAACAGAAGATTTAGAGAGGCGAAAACGGGGCGAGGGATGGAATGAAGATGCATCTGGTTTTTTATTTAGCGATAAAGTGTTGATGTTGAATATGCTGGCTGAGGATGTAGAGGGAAAGGGTTTTTTTTAACTATCTTTTTTGGAGGGTTTTCTTTTTTCTTCATTTTTCATATATTCACACACACACACACATTTGTATTACATTTCTTTCTTTGATCTGTGAATATAATCCTTAATAAAAGTATTGTTCAAAATAATCAACAGGACTTTTTTCAGGGCATGTACTGGGGGGCAGGGAATCAAAAAAGTCAAGATGGATGTCAAGTTGTGCCAGACTACTGCTTTTTAGCTGTGTACGTGATGTCCTTTAAAACAGCCACCATCGTGGTTCTTGTGACTTCCTCCTCCTACACTGACACAACTCGTGATGAATTGGGCCATATCTTACTTAGGACGTACGGTACATCGTAGGTCACAAGAAGTGCGACTTTGAACTATGTCATCAATTTAGTGCACATTGTGAATTGATACCAGGCTGCATTTCATGCAACCCAAAATTCAGTTAATGTGAGTCTGTTGTGTGTGTGTGTGTAGTTTAAAGTGCACATGATGGAGGGTCACGTAAGCACTACACCAGTGACTATTACAGACCACGCTAAAGATATCAGAATTAAAAATTCCCAGCAATTAAAACAAAATATTTACCATCCAGTTAAGAGGCAACACCAAAAAAAGTCTTCTAGCAGCTGTCAAAAAAGGTAGCTGTAGCTTGCTGGGACTTTGAAGTGTCCCTGAGTGGTTGGTTCCCACCGTGGGAGATGAAACACAGGCGAGATGTCCACAGCAGAGAAGCTGCCTTTATTAACCGATGGTCAAAGCCCTTTTCCAGCCTCCTCCCTGAGGGTTGGAGACGGAGGTGGTGGATGAAGGATCTAGAAAGCCAAGGAGATCCCTTCTTTGACCGTCAGCCTCAGTCCAGCCCAGGAATGGATGAGGTTCCCTCTCAACTGATGCTGGGATGAGAAGCTCAATGCACTGAGACAACAGGGGCTCTTTGGCCAGAGCTGGTGTGGGGACCTTTTCACTATTACTCAGCCTGTTGGCCTTTACTTAAATTGAGCTAGTAATTCATCAGGTTGGCTGGCTGGGAAACTGGGACTTGTGGAATGCCGTATTTTTGATCCCCAAAGAGGACAGATTCCAAAGAAAGTCCCATTTACACTTTCTAGGAACTGGGCAATGAATTACAGCAGCGGTTCTCAACCTATGGGTCGCGACCCCATTTGGGGTCGATCGACCATTTCACGGGGGTCGCCAAGCAAGGCTGTCCGCCATTTTTTTTGTCCGCCATTTTTTTCCCCTTTTCCGGCGGGTGCCTTACCTCCCTTGGGCTGGGCCAGCTGGTGGTCGGCCTGCTCCGTCTCTGCCGCTTGCCAGCTACGCCTCGGCCGGCGCAGGGGGCAGAACCACGTATGCGCGGCACTCCCGGGCAGGCAAAGTCCTTGACTTATGACCGGTTGGGTAGTCCTCGACTTACGACCGGTTTAGTCCTCGACTTATGACGGGTTTAGTCCTCGACTTACGACCGGTTTAGTCCTCGACTTACGACCGGTTGGGAGTCGCGGCATTAAAAAGGTTGAGAACCACTGAATTACAGCCTCCCAGCTTCCTGCTTAATTTTTTTCTACTAATTCCTCCCGAAATCTTTCGGTCTAACATCCGTTTATCTGGAGCCACATAAACAATAGCAACAGACTTACATACCGCTCCATGGTGCTTTATACCCCTCTTTAAGCGGTTCATGGAGTCAGTGTGTTCCCCCCATCGATCTGAGCCCTCGTTTTACCCACCTCGGAAGGATGAAAGGCTGAGTCAACCCCAAGCCAGTGAGGATCGAACTCCTGGCACGTTCCTGTGAGGCTGCCTTCTGCGCTCAGGTCCCCACGAAAGACGTGGCAAATGGGCAGAGGTGTCTGCAGTTGGGTGAATGGCTGTCACAGACACGTCAAGATGGAGTCCAAATCAAAGCCCCGCCCCTTT